ATTAATTATACTATTACATTACGTACAATTATATGAATTATTGTCAGATTATATGATTATTATGAAAAGTTCTTTTCAATACGAGAATATTGATTATATGATTATTATGATTATATGATTATTATGAAGCATTAATTAATTTTGTTAAATTTCGTTTATTTAAGGAAAAAATGCCTCATCATAGAAGTGTTTTCATATGGATGAAATTGCAGCATAAATATTTTGTCTTTACGAAATTTTAGGAAGTTTTGTCTCATGAATATTCTGTAATGACACAAATAAAAGGGGAAATTTTTCATAGCTACGAAATTTAAGCAGGTTTTCATATGCTTTCAGTAGGGATGAAAATCAATTGAAAATTTCGTTCAGAGGAAATCTAAAATCATGGGATTCGTAGTTTGCTGGTTCTGTGAAAGCGAAGAATAATTTTGATACTTATTTGGGCGAGAATCGGCGATTATTAAAAATTTGACGGTAGTTGAGTAGACTTTTAGTTTTTGCTCTTTTGTCTTCAAATTGAGATGTGAAACATGTTTATTTTAGTCGAGTTGTATAATCATTTAAGGTTTCACATTACGGTCCAACCTTAACCTTAGGTACATTAAAATGAAAATAGTCGGTTTCGCTTTGTGGTCCAACCATATCGTCCTAAGATACACTAAAATGAAAAAATTCGGTTTCACTTAGTGGTCCATGATAGATTTTAATCCAGATTTGAAAGGAACTAATAGCCCAATTTTAATATTTTCATCAATTGATCCACGTTGAAATCAAAGAGAACAAGAAAGCGGAAGCATACCTTGATCCATAGATTAACAGTGATTTTGAACGTGTTACAATCTTCCAATTGATTCGAGATTTCCCTTGAAATTCTTGAAAAACTCTCTGTTGATGGGGATGCAGAGGTTATAGAAAATCACGTCAATTGGGGACCATGACCCCATGATAAATAACTGCTAGGCAGTTATCATCTTTTATTTGTTTTAAATTGGTCCTTCATCAATTTTAAAAAACTACA